TTTGTTCCTGTTTCGGTTTGGATATTATTATTAAAATTTTTTTGCCACTTATCTAGTAACAGAGAACAGTGACAAAAAAAAAAAAAAATCCAATACTGAAAAATTGGGGAAAAGGCACTTTCATATGTTAATAGGGAAATGTGAAGTTGGTACAAATTTTTTTGGAGTTGTACCAATTTGGAGTAATTTATTAGTGTCAAAAACCTTAAAATATAGTTTAAGAACTAATTTAACTGATGATTTAAAGGAACCCGTACTTGAAAACCATAATACATTGAAAAGAGAAATTGAAGAAAATACAAACAAATGGGAGCATATACTGTGCTTATAAATAGGAAGAATTAGCATTGTTAAAATGTCTATACTACCCAAAGCAAACTACATACTTAGTGCAATCCCTATCAAAATTCCAATGGCATTTTTCACAGAAATAGAACAAATAATCCTAAAATTTATATGAAACCACAGAAACACCCGAATATCAAAAGCAATCTTGAGAAAGAAGAAAAAAATTGGAAATATCATGTTACCTGATATCAAACTGTGCTAGAAGGCCATACTAATCAGAGCAGCATGGTACTGGCATAAGAAGAGACATAAAGATCAATGGAACTGAATAAACAACCCAGAAATAAACCAATGACTGTATGGGGTGTAGTTTATGACAAAGGAGACAAGAATATACAATAGGGTAAAAATAGTCTCTTCAGCAAATGGTGCTGGGGAAACTGGACAGATACATGCAAAAGAATGAAAGTGAATCACTTTCTTACAAGAATAAACTCAAAATGGATTAAAGACCCAAAGCCATAAAACTCTTAGAAGAAAACAGGCAGGAAACTCTTTGATATCACTCCTAGTAATGTTTTTTTTGGATTTGTCTCATTGACAAGGGAGACAAAAGAAAAAAATAAACAAATGGCATTACATAAAACTATAGAGTTTTTGCAAAGCGAAACTATCAACAAAACAAAAAGTCAACCTAGTGAATGGGAGATGTTTGCCAATGATACATCCGATAAAGAGTTGGTATCCAAAATATATAAGGAACTTATACAATTTAACACAGAAAAAACAAGCAACCCAATTAAAAAGGCAGAGGGCTGAATAACATTTCTCCAAAGAGGACATAGAGATGCCAACAACATGTCAAACATCACTAATCATTAGAGAAATGCAAATTAAACCATAATGGGATACTAACTCACAGCTGTCAGCATTGCTATCATCAGTAAATTGGCAAATAAGTGCTAATGAGGCTGTGGAAAAAAGGGAACCCTTGTGCACTGTTGATGGGGTTGTAAATTGATGCATCCAGGATGCCATACTGAGTATGGAAAACAGTATAGAGTTCTTAAATAATTAAAGATAGACCCAACAGTTCCACTTCTGGGTATTTATTTGAAGAAATCCAAAATACTAATTTGAAAAGACATGCATCCTTATATTCATTGCAGCATTATTTACATCTAGAAGTCTGGTGCATGAAATTCGTGCATGAGGAGTGAGAGTGGTGTGGTGGGTCGGTGGTGGTGGTGGTGTCCCTCAGCCTGGCCTGCATCCTCTTGCAATCCGGGACCCCTCAGGGGATGGGATGTTAGGCCTAAACGGGCAGTTGGACATCCCTCTTGCCATCCAGGATGCTGTATGCACCAGTGACCATACAGGTGAAAGGCATCTTGCTGTTGTATGGGCACCTACATTTTTTTTGCCCCAATTATGAAAAGTAGTATATAACACGATCCTTCTGAGGCAGTAGTGCCATTTTCCCTATCTCATGGGTGGAAAAACTGAAGCAGAGAGAAGTTAATTGGCTTTGTCACACAGTTATAAGTGTCAGAACCAGGGCTGACCACAAAATGTGCAAGCCAGAGTCCATGCATGTCATCGCTGCTGCATCCTGTTTTTTCAGTGTTAGACTAGTCTTGCCAGGTTTTAATTTTTAAATCTGTGAGACTGTTCCCAACATATAGGTAGGATCCCTAGGCCTGGCCAGCAATTAGGGCCATCTGTGGGGTGACCAGTGGGGGAGGCAGTCAGGGGACTCCCGCTGGCACCTGCCTTAGCTGGTGGCCTGATGCCGCCCTCTGGCTGGCCCCGTTCCCCAATTGCTGCCGCCAGTTGCCTCCCTTTCGAGTGTCGGTGTGTGACAGAGCGATTGGTCTGATTTGCATATTAGGGTTTTATTATATAGGAATTATATAGGATAGCCAAGATATGGAAACAACCTAAGTGTCCATCAGTAGACAATTGGATAAAAAAAAGATAAGATACACATATACAATGGAATATTTCTTGGTCATAAAAAAGAATGAAATCTTACCCTTTGAGATAGCATGGATGGGCCTAGAGGATATTATGTTAATTTAAATAAGACAGGGAAAGACAAATACCATATGATTTCACTTTGTGGAATCTAAAAAAATAAACCAGAAATAAATACATAGATGCAGAGAACATTTTGATGGTTGCCAAAGGGGAGGTGGATTGGTGGATGGGTGAAGAAGGGGAAGGAATTAAGATATACAAATTACCAGTTATAAAAATAGTCACAGGGACATAAAATCTATCATATTGTAATTACTATGTATGGTGTCAGATGGGTACTAGATTTATCGGGGTGATCGCTTTCTAAGTTATATTAATATAATGTCTAATCACTGTGTTGTACACCTAAAACTATAGTTGTACAACAACTATAACTGATAAATAAAAATTATTGGGGGGAAAAATCAATATTGAGGTCTTTAAAAAAAAAAATATTTTATTGATTTTTCACAGAGAGGAAGAGAGAGGGATAGAGAGTTAGAAACATCGATGAAAGAGAATCATCGATCAGCTGCCTCCTGCACCCCCCCCACTGGAGATGTGCCCACAACCGAGGTACACGCCCCTGCCCAGAATCGAACCCAGGACCTTTCAGTCCACAGGCCGATGCTCTATCCACTGAGCCAAACCCGTCCTGGCAGTATTGAGGTCTTGAATCAGGTTAATAGCAGGAGAGGGAAGGGCAAGCACGAGGGAGTTAAGCGGTATCTCTCAGCAAATTCTCCAAAAGTGGTGATTTATCTATAATTTTGAAAGATAATGTGATTTACGAGTTGTTGTTTGATCCAGAGACATTAGAACAAGTCGTATGAAATGTGGTTTGAAACATCTCCGAGACAAATGATAGTCAAAGGAAAGTGCTTTTTTTTTTTTTTTTTTTAAGTATATATATTTTATTGATTTTATACAGAGGAAGGGAGAGAGATAGAGAGCTAGAAACGTCGATGAGAGAGAAACATCGACCAGCTGCCTCTTGCACACCCCCCACCGGGGATGTGCCTGCAACCAATGTATAATACATGCCCTTGACCGGAATCAAACCTGGGACCTTTCAGTCCGCAGACCGACGCTCTACCGCTGAGCCAAACCGGTTTCGGCAGGAAAGTGCTTTTTTAATGCATCTACAACCCCACTACCTGATAGCCCACACTCTCTCCTTTGTCTGTCACAGCCTATCCGTGACCTGGCTTGAACTACGATGAACTTAAGGGTGAAGGGGCAAATTCTAGAATGGATGTAGGAAATGCTTGTTTGTGGATAAATCAAACATGGCTGCCAGGAGTCTAGGCTGGGCAACTGAGCAGATAGATGGTGGTATCATGTGGGGATAGCCAAGATAGGAGACTGGGGGAAGAAGATCCTGTCTCTTTTTGACATGTTCATGAGCTAGAGTTGTCCGCGAAGAGGAGAGCACCAGCAGGCTGTTGGATATCAGAGATGGTACCTCAGCTTTGGAGTGGCCCAGGCTTCATTTTACCTGCTGTGTCTCAGTTGCTGCATAGATTAGGGTGTTTGTGTCTCTTTTATGAGCTCGTAAGATATTGAATTGCAGGGTGAAGACACTGCATATTCCTAATCTGATCTCCCATTGCATGTCCATACATTATTCATTCTTGTCCTGCCATAGCTTCCCTTCGGTATATACGTTTCACTGAAATAATTTTGTTGGATCTTTCATTTATTTAATAGAGGCCCAGTGCACGAAATTCATGCATGGGGGGGGGGGCGGGATCCCTCAGCCCGGTCTGCCCCCTCTCCAATCCGGGACCCCTTGCGGGGATGTCAGACTGCCAGTTTTGGCTCATTCCCCGCAGGCCAGGTGGAGGGACCCCACCAGTGCATGAATCTGTGCACTGGGCCAGTTTTGGCCTGATCCCCACAGGCCAGCCTGAGGGACCCCACTGGTGCATGAATCTGAGATTCATCAGTCTGTTCCATGTTTACATGCCTGTGTGTTGAGCATTTGCCCCTGGTGGTCAGTGCGTATCATAGCTACCGGTCGAATGCTTGAATGATTGCTTGGGCTTTTATATAAATAGATTGTTATTTTTTATTGATTTCAGAGAGGAGGGGAGAGAGAGAGAGAAACATCAATGATGAGAGACAATCATTGATTGGCTGCCTCCTGCACATCCCCTTTGGGGGATCGAGCCTGCAACCCAGGCATGTACCCTTGACTGAAATTGAACCTGGGACCTTTCATTCTGCAGGCCAGGGCTCTGTCCATTGAGCCAAACCAGCCAGGGCTGGATCTTTTTCTTAAATAAAGTATTTTTTTAAAATTGATTTTTAGAGGAAGGAAAAGGAAAAGAGAGAGAAACATCGATGTGAGATGTTTCCTCCTGCATGCCCCCTACTGGGAATTGAGCACACAACTGGGAGTTGAACCAGCAACCTTATAGTGCATGGATCAACGCTCAACCATCTGAGCCACGCTGGCCAGGGCTGTTGGATCTTTTAAAACTAATGACCTTAGGAATATTGAAACATACATTATTTACCTAAATGGAGGCTGCACTTGCCTCTGCAAATATGAGGAAGATGCTTGATGGACAGTGTTTCTTATTTCATCACCACACCAGTGGAAATCATTGAGTTAGTAAATGCTATAACATGTTTCTATTTCCATTACTTGTAAGTGTAATAACAATGTTCATTCATTTTATTTATAGCTCCGAAAGGAATTCTTCATTTGTCTCCTGATGTTTATCAAGAGATGGAAGCCAGCCGCCACAAAGTAATCTCTGGCAGTTCCCTAGGCTATTTGTCACCCAAAGACATGAACCAGCCCTCCAGCTCCTTCTTCAGTCTATCTCCCACCTCGAATAGCTCAGCCACAATTGCCAGGGAACTCCTTATGAATGGAACATCTCCTACGGCGGAAGCCATAGGGTTAAAAGGAAGTTCTCCTCCCCCTTGTTCTGCAGTACAACCTTCAAAACAGCTGGAATATTTAGCAAGGATTCAAGGCTTCCAGGTATGAATTAAAAGCAAAAAAAAAAACAAAACCAAGAAAACAAAACAACTCATTAGCTCCAAATACTTCATCTCTGTCCATCAGAAAGCTCATCTCTTGCCTGCTAGTGTGACCCATATGCCACTTACATTGTCAAGTCCTAGGCACACCAACGGCAGAGAAAAGAGGGCCATATACACGTGCCTCATTGTCTTTTATTTTCATTCTCCCTAGCGAGTCTTTTGCTGCCTGGCTCTCCTCCATTTTTCTTCTTCCTCTTCTTTTATATATTTTTTTAAACTCCCCCTATCCGCCACCCCCAATTCTCTATTCTGTAATTTGGTTGGTCTTGATTGGGTGGGTATAGCTAGCTCCACTCTGTCTTCCACAAACAAAATTTCTGCCTTCACATATTTGGCAGCCGTATTGAGCTCTGAGTTCTCCCTCCTTTTACATAAGGTTGAGTTCTTCTAATGATGCTTTTATACTCATTGAAGTTTTGAATTCTGTTGCCAGTAATAATTCAGGTATGTCATTAAGATAAAAAGGTCTGTTATCTAAGGAATTCATTAAACATGGGATTAGAACAATAATGAAATACTTTCTAGTTGTTTGGGGCATAATGCCGAGTATTTGTTTTACTGGATCATGTTTTGAACCGTGTGGGGGTGGCATCTACCAACAATTCGGTGTCATTGGGCGGTCTGAAACCAGCCCTAGTCCACTTGACTGGCCGTCTAGATGAATTTGGGGATAGAAGCATTTCTTTCCTGTTTATTTTTTGTTCTCCTTTGAAAAAAACCACCCGACAATCCTTTATGGATATAGTTTTTGAAAGAATGGTTAACACTAGGAAGAGGAAATACCTGTGTTCTGATTTCTTAGTTGCTTGAACATCATGTGCTGACCTGTCACCGCTAACGTGACCTTTTAATGTGACTGCTGAACTGCAGTGAGCTTGTGCGTGGGGGTCTCGCTCCTGCAGGTTCCCCTGTTTCCACCTCTTTTCCATCCTATCTTCTTCCTTATGACCAGAAAGTGTAATTTTCTTTAGAAACACTCTAGGAGCTCTGTACTGTGTAGAATGATCATATATTTCTACAAATTTTACAAGTTTAGATACAAAATAAGAAAGTAGAGCGTGTGTTTTTGGTGTGGGGAGGGATTTTTGCACGTTTTCTTTTTTCTCCACCGGAAATGGATTCATTCAAGTTGACTGCCAGGTAGTCATCAGACTATTAATATGAAATTACAGAAACTGTTACCAATTATTGTCTCTTTATCTGAAATTTTAAGCGCTTAAAGTTAAAATTTTAGAACTTGGTTTTGTTAATTATAAGAATGACAATAAATCACTGTTCAAAATAAAAAGACTTTGATTCGTACCACATACTGGAAAACAGCGAAGTAATTTTTAGTTCTGTGTATAACCTGCATAGAATGAACTAGACATAGATTGACATGAAAAGAAAGTCACTGCTTATTTACAAATCTAGTCATTGAGAAACATCTCCAAGTAATGCTGCATTTTTTTTTTTTAAGAAGCAAAAATTGCATCCAAGCTCTGAATTGATTTTTTGCTTAGAGATGTGGTAGATGTAATTTTGCTGCTTCAATTTTTTTATTTGTATTTATTTGTTAATTCTTGGCAATGAAAACAGTAATAATTTGAATATATCTTCACCTTAGTCAGACTGTAGTCTGTTTTCTCCATTATTGGACTGATTGCTCAGACCTTTTGTTACAGCTTACGGCAGAGATAATATTCATTATTTATGGACAAGCTAACCATTTCTAAATTTGTGTAATGTGACTTTAACACACTAATGAGTATAAACAGGCTTCTTTGGTTGAATGAGCTGGGTGTTGATATGAAATAATTGTCTCTCTGGTGATATGAAATATTGTCCGCTGTGCAGTGGACAGGATTGTGGGAAATGGCTTAGTGTTATGAGAGATGTAGCCACATCTTCATGTCACAGTAGAAGATTCTTTGTGGTTAAGAGTTTTAAAGCCTATTTCTTTATAGGTAACTTTCTCAGGTCTATTTACCTGGTGGAAAAACATGTAGATTGCTCCTATTTCTTAAATGTTTTAATTGGGTTGTAGTTTAGAAATTATAGGGCCGGGGTGTTATGCTATTCTGTTATTTTTATTTCTGGAACTTAAACACAATAAATCCTTTTACTGTGTTTCTAGGTTAGTATTTTTTTATTTTGTTATTGTATGCTGACTAGGTAATTATTGCTTATTGGATATTGTATAAATCCTTTCTTGGCCTTCTTTGCCTATTGAAATCTGATGTGACAGTTAATATTGTATTACAAAGTAAAATTATATTAGTGTACTGAAAACAAAATTGCTTTAACTTTTAATTTTTTTTTCATTATCCAGCCTTTAATGAAAACTTATAAATTACTAAAAGTTCATCTGCTTACCAGAATGTGGGTATTAAGCTCACATTCTTTTGCTTAACTCTATTAAGTAATTTAAATTATTATGCAATTAAAGTTATTATTAATAAAGCTGACTTCACAGAGCAGAATGTGACTGAACCCTTGCACATTCTTGGTGATGCTTTTATTCCTGCTTGGGCTCACCTAAGGTTTTGAATCACATTTTAGAAGCAAGCTTTTGGATCTGTGTCATAAGTATTTGCTTCTTTGCAGTTTCATCGAGTGCATTTTAATCATCCTCTTTTAGAACCTGAATGTTTTATTATTTTTTTTTTAGCAAAAAGTTTTATGTCATCAGTCCTGTGAACCTCAGACTTTATGCTTCAGTCAGAGTGCTTCTATAACTTTCATGCATTTCATAAAAGCAGAGCTTTTTGTTGTGTAATTTGATACTCTTTCATTATAATGCCAAAATGTTTCCAAATCATGGGGCTTTTTAAAGAAAATTATTATGGGAAAGACATTCTTGAAATGCTGTACCTTTGAGCTGAATATTTGAATACCTTTTTGTTACGTTTTAATTTATACAATCCTAAGTTTTTTGATTTTCCATGCTAATTATGTTAGAAATATCTTTGTGTAATTAAATATAAGCAGTTCTGCTTGTTTAAATGAGTCATTAGAAAACGATTAGTTTGAAAATGAATTCCATTTGCCCCTCGGTATCCCCAGAAGATTGGTTCCAGGCCCGCAGTATCAAATTGTGCGCGGATGCTCAAGTCTCTTATGCAGAACAGCACAGTATTTGCCTGTACCCTACACAAATCCTCCCGTAGACGTTAAACCATCTCTAGACTGCTTATGATACCTAACACAATGTCAATGCTATGTACTTAGTTGTTACATGGTATTGTTTAGGGATTAATGACAAGAAAACAGCCTGTACGTGAGTACACCTGTACCATCACAGACGTGACCACCAAGCTCACATCAGCAACAACATAACCCTTTTTCTGCATAGTTATGACCAGCAGTTGGTTGAATCTGCAGACGTGGAAACGCGGATATGGAGAGCTGACTGTACTTTAATAAGCTATTCTTTCTAGGTGGGTTTAATTCCAGTTTGCTGTCCTGTGCTCTTCCTAGTTTCCCTCCTCCTTTTTAAAAAATATATATATATTATTGATTTTTTACGGAGAGGAAGGGAGAGGAATAGAGAGCTAGAAACATCTATGAGAGAGAAACATCGACCAGCTGCCTCTTGCAAATCCCCCACTGGGGATGTGCCCGCAACCAAGTACATGCCCTTGACCGGAATTGAGCCCGGGATCCCTTTGTCTGCAGACTGACGCTCTATCCACTGAGCCAAACTGGCCCCGGCATATTTTTGAAAGGGTAGTGGCGTGGTTTTTGTATTTCAGAAAAATAATTCTGTAGGCATTGAGAAAGATGAACTAGACAAACGAGAGACTGGTGGTGGAGAGACTAATTAGAGTGGTTTTGCATAAATCTAGGAGAGACATAACAAAGATCGAATGAAGGCAGAGCCAGTGGGTGTAGAGGAAGGGTCTAAAAGTACAGTCGTCTAAGAGAGAATTCATTTAATTGAGAACATTACATGATGTCTGTTGCTGACTTCTGTGAAGCTGCTTTGGCCTGGTCAGGGTGGACACTGGATTTAATGTATGGACTAAATGGAGACTGTGTGAGGATACATAGAGTATTCTGTTAGGAATTTGAGAGGGTAAATGTGAGTTTGTGTGAAAAGAAGGAAGGTAATGTGAATGATATGTTTGAGATAAGGTTTTATTTTTAATATAGATGAGATGAATAAGCTTAGAGGAAGTTAGTAAGTTCCACTTTAGACACGTGGAATTTGAGTTGCCTGAGGGACTTTCAAATGGAGATGCCCAATGGGCAGTAGTAATGGGTCCAGATATTAGCAAGAGAGTGTAGGACACAGTCCTAAGTATATAGATGTAATTAAACTATAGATAGAAGACTGACCAGGAAAACTGGGCAAAGGCCTAGGAGAGATTCGTGAGTATTCATCCCAATGAGTACTAACATTCATTAATTCAAGCAAAACGCATGGAGCGCCTGCCATGGGCCATGTACATTTGTTGGCACTGAGGATGCAACATAAATTCAGTCAAAGTTTCTGCCCTCATGGAACTAACATTAGAGTGGGATGTGTTGTAGGGGGAACAGGCCGAAGGGCAGATAGTCACATGAGCACATAGGATAAATTCGAGTGGTGGTAATATCCTAAGGTAACAGCTGCTTGAAAATTGTGAGATGAGTTAAGTTTTTTTTAAATATATATATTGAAATAAATCTTTATTGTTCAGATTATTACAAATGTGTTCCTCTCCCCCCCTCAATTGCTCCCCTCTACCAGGTTCCCACCCACCCTCTGCCCTTTCCCCACCCCCTATTGTCCACATCCATAGGTGCACAGTTTTTGTTCAGTCTCTTCCTGCACCCCCACTCCCCTTTTCCCCAAGAATCGTCAGTCCACTCTCCTTCCATACCTCTGATTCTATTATATTCACCAGTTAATATTGTTCATTAGATTTTTTAATTCCCTTGGTTTTTAGTTTCACTTGTTGATAGTTACGTATT